AGTAGAAACTTTTGTCCTTATAATTATTTCAAATCTAGTCTTTTCTATTCAATTCTTCATCTAATCGTGGATTTTCTTTCAGATGTTATAATCAGCGTGGGCGAAAAGGACGAGCAAGAAAAGAAACAAACTTCAGTACTTGTCAAACCAAATATGCCTCCCGGAGGCAACTCAGGACGTGGAAGAACAACTAAGCCAACACTGGAACAGAAGCTCAACAATGATCATGAAATGAAACTCAAGGAGAAATCTGACCAGAGAAAAATTCAAACAAGGCATGTGCCTACTCAACAAAACTTGAGTATTCGAAGGGTGTGAATTTCTAGTTCATGTAAAGCTTCGATTTCTAACTAACAGTTCATTATTTTGTTGTATCAGAAACTGAAATGCCCCGATGAGGATGCAGAACATTTGAAACTTGAGGCCACAAAGCGAAAGCTCCATGAGTGTTACCAAGAAGTTGAAAATGGTTAGTTTGGTTTCTTATAGCGCGTAGACTTAAATAACTCATTGTGCACTACAAAACATGTCTGATGATATTTCCTTATCAATTGTTCTTCAGCGAAGAGGCAGAGGATTGTTCAAGTAATGAAGTTGAAGGACATACCCAAGCAAGGCCGTGGCATTAGAAAGCCTCATAATAGGCCTTTGGTAAATAGGCGTCAATGAATCATTTCTTCGCCTTTAGTCAATCTTGTGGAGGAGCATCGTCAGTTTTAAATAAAACTAAAGTTTATACCCATAATGACTTGTGCTTTTTTCAGTTTAGTTTTTTTATTTATCTTTTATCTTATTTATTTATTTTATCCTATTTTAGGTGCTTACAACCTTACAAATTAACCATATCACAAGAAAAACTCAAGAGGCATATTTTCAAAAAAAATTGAAGAAGTCTTAACGGTTTCTTCTACAACTAGCAGTTATTAAATTAAAATATAAAGAAGCTAATATATGAAGAATCCACAGAGATTCAACATATATATATATATATTTTATTATTATTATTATTATAAGTGGGAAGCTGCAAAGTGAAAAGTTGAATTACCATTTTGCCCCTCTACTAAATTAAAATATGATTAAACATAAATATTTTAATTACCTAATGGTAGAATTTGAAGTTCTTAAGCCCTTTAATAATTAAATTATCATTTTCTTGATAAATGAGTACATTGATATTGCTTTTAATCGTAATCATAAATCTCATAATGAAAGAATTTGAAAAGTTATGATATGAAAAGTCATTCATCACTTTGATGTAGAAATCAATTTTAGAATTAAAATTTGAATCTAAAGGGTCATTTCCTAATGCTATTTAAGAACCAACTTACAAAGATGGAAGCTCAAAATGGGAAATCGAATTAAGAAAATTGCACAATTCAACATGAGAAGATAAGAGAGTTAAAAGTTGCAAGTGAGGATAACCAAAAAAATGCTGAAAATTGGTAATCAAGAAGAAAAAATAGCAATGGAAAAAAAGAGAGTAAATTTACTACATGTATTGTAGTATTAAAAAGTAAACAATCTTATGTTGATATGTTGTCTCTAACAATAACAAAGTTTTTTTTTCCAGAGCATTAGGACTTTCTTTGCAATATCCAAAACTTTTCGTTCTTGCTTTTTTTCTCCATTATAGAATTTTTCTTCCATGAACCATTTAGAATTGTATGGGTGATGAACTTGAAGTATAGATATGTCACACCCCAAAACCGGATGTGATGGCACGTGCCCAAACCCCACCGGACACGTAAGCCTAACACCCAAAAACCCGACGATGCGGAATTAATAAAACAAGAATAAGATAGAAAGATAAGCGGAAGTCTTTAAATAAACTCAACATAACCCCAGAATTGGTTGTCACATGTACAAACCTCTAATACGGAATCTGAATAAAATATACAAGTCTCATAGTAAAGTTCTAGAATAGAACAGAACAATAAATATAGATAACTTGAGGGCACGTCTGCAATGAACCGCTACCTCTCAAGTAAGTCTGGAAGCTCTAATCTGAAGATAAGTAATAAGCCGGATCTGATAGAGCTGTCAACCTACACAACTGTGTAGAAGCAAGGGTGAGTACCAAAAGCAACAGGTACTTGCAAGTAACACTAAACTAAGCTAAACTAGCAACTACAAACAACTCTTTTCAATCCCAACCGAACCACCGAAACTTCATTCTAACAGCGAACCAACAACCTATACTACACAATTCATAATCAACAGATATATCTAACAGTGTCTCAACATCAATCTCATATCCTCATGTAAGAGCAAATAGATCATATATCACATGAAGAGGGGCAAATAGGAAAAATCCACACACCACAGACAAAGATGAAGTCAAATGCGATGCAAATGCAATAATGATGTCATGTAGTCGTGATGCATGTCTGTCCTAAGATACACATCTGTTGACGTAATCAGACCGCGCTGAATACTCAAATCAGAACCCATGGGGGCCACACATGGACCATGTATCACCGCCGGAACCAGATCCCATCGGCATCCAAATCGCTAGCCGGAGCTAGTCTCAACTGTGTCTCATATCCATCCATCCTCATATCAGTGTCTCAGAACTCATGCAACAGATAATTCACACATGGGATGAATAATGAATATGCACATGTCATCAATCACAATCATATCACGATCACATCATAGTATTACACATTATCTGTCTCAATCACAACCATATCACGATCACATCATAGTATTACACATCATCTGTCTCAATCACAACCATATCACGACCACATCATAGTATTACACATCGTCTGTCTCAACATCAATGTCTGTATCAATCATAGCCTACTCATGCTCTTCTATCCCCTCAATATCAGTTATCACATGACTTATTCAACAAATTCAAGTCACATATAACACATTTAGCTCGTTTTATTCCCCATCTTTCAATTACAACAATTTCAATCAACAAATAAAACTCATCCTCAATCCCCATTACTCCCCAACACAATTAGGAAAGTAGTCATGTGTAATCTAAGAGTTTAACAAAATTTAGAAGTCGCTTGCCTCAAAACACTTCAACTAGTAACTCAAATTTGAGTTTTACCCTTCCGAGCACGCTCCAAATCACCACAATCTATTCATAAATGGAATCTCACAATCAATACGAATCTAACAACACCAATATCGTGAAATTTGGAGAAAAGGGTAAAATGGTCAAAAAAATCTCGTTCCGAAAAATATTCTCGAAATCTGGAAATTTTTAGTGAAAAATGTTCCCCAAGAAATTTAGAATCCAATAGTGAAAACCATTTCGAAAAAGGAGTTGAAATGAGTTCACAAACTCAATTTTTCTATTAAATTCGGATTAGGCAAAAACCCCCAAATTTTTCAGTTGAGATCTCAAATTTTGATGTTAAAATCCATAAATAATCGATGGAAATCAAAGATCTAAGTTGGAAATAACTTACCCAATGAATTCCTTGCGAAAACCCACTTGAAATCACCTATTTTCGAGCTCTCAAAGTCTAAAAATGGAGAAATGGGTATTTTTCAAGTTGGGGGAAAATGGCTACTGGTTTTTGGCTTTAAAAAAGAAGAAAAAAGACTGCTGTTGCAGCTAAAAAAAAACACAGCAGCTGAAACAACAATAACACCAAAGTTTAAGTCCCCGTTGGACCCTCGAGATTCGTTCGGAATCTCGTGCACACAAACTAAATATGTACCCCCACTAAATTCGACGTTCCGGACTCAATGGAACTGTCGGAATTTGAATTCGAGGACTCCTTGACCCGAAATTCAATAAGATGCCAAGAAACTAGTTTAACGCCAAAAAAATTCGAAACTCAAACGGAGCGTCTAAAAATTCAACCAAGACTCATTCTAGACTTAGAATCGCCTCCCGAAACCAACGGTACTCTCAGAATTTCAATCCGAGCCTCGGAACCTCATATGTTGACCAAAGTCAACTCTTTATCACAATTTCACAACTTTAGCAACTTAGGACCTCAATTCTTCGTTTCAACTCCAAATTCAACTCCGTAACTTCACACAGACCCGTTTCGACATTCTAAAATTGCCGGAATCGACGGAAATCTGATCCGAGTCCCGAAACTCCAAATAACTCGAAAAAACACTTTTTAACCAACTTTAACTCATAAAAACTCAACTTATCAAAAACTCAACTTTTTACCAACTTTTCTTCAAACTAACTTTACAACCACAAAACATGGGACTCAGGGCAACTACCGAAAGGGCAAAATAGTCATTTCCACGAAAAATTACCAAAATGACCTTTCGGGTCATTACAAGATATCAATTTAAGGTATATGTAGAAATTTTCTTATTGTGCATTTAAATGAGAACCATTAATCATTTTTGTTATTCATTTTTGCACATACTAATATACCATATGTTTGGACCTAATAACTTAAAAATGTAACTCATTATTTTAGTTACCAAACTAAATTTTTCAGGTTCGTCAAATGTCTAATCATTTGACATACAATAAGGAAGTTATTTGAATACATTGATTGTTCATCTATTTTAATTTTTTTTTTTAATAGCTTGTGATACTGATTAAAATGTGATTTTGACAGTAATTCATACCTTTCACGGGACTCACGTCACGTGCAAAGTACGTGTCCAGGATTAGTACACATATAAGCGCGCAAGGAGATTCAACATATATATATATATATATATAATAAAATAAAAGATTTCGAAGAAAATTAAACTACCTTTTGCAGTACCCTAACTCCGTCCATGCATGTTCCTTCACATTAAATGACAATAATAGCTAGCTAAGGACCATTATTCATATTCAAATATTTGCCATCATATTTCAAGAAAAGGTAATACTAGGAAACATTTCATAATATCTAGCTAGGAAACATTTCTTATTACAACAACAAAAAATCATTAATATAATACATAGAAAAATCATTTTATAACTACGCCATTTGCCCAAATATCTTATGGATGCTTTCAGAGAACATTAGACTATTATAGTGACATGTTGTTACAAAAGTTGTCTGTTATAAAGATGTCCGACTGTAGTGATGATCAAGTGGCATAACTTAGAGAGAAGAAAAGATAGGGACGCCAGGTAGTGTGTAACCAGCATCAACAATAAATATATTGCCAGATACATAATTTGAAGAATCATGGACCAAATATCTCAATAGTGAAGTCAATGCTGGATCAGTTGTACCAAAAGTTTTGAGTGGAATGCTTCTTTTTGCTACATTTTTTAGCCAATCTTTTTTCACTAAATTCTCAGTAATTTCTGATTTGAAAAGACCTGGAGCTATTGCATTCACTCTAATATTGTGTTCTCCCAATTCTAATGCCATTATCTGCAAATTTCATAAACAAAGTTAGTACGATATGTGTTTGATACGACAAACATCATTTAGGGTTATAACCTTTGTCATAGAATCCATAGCAGCCTTAGAGGAACTATAAGCAATACCACCACGCATTAAAGCTCTATTTAAACCAGAAATAGATGAAATATTAATAATTGAGCCTCCTTTTTTTGAAGCTTGCATTTGTCTTCCAACATATTTGGAAACTAACCAAGATCCTGTCAAATTTGTTCTTAAAGTGTTTTCCCACTCTTCCTCTGAAATATCCACTGAAGATTTTATTCCTCCTATATATAAACACAAAATAGATTCATATTATATACTATATATGAAATTACATTAAAGTAGCTTAATTGCCGAAAAATTATAACGTAACAATTACTAGAAGTGCAATGAATTAATGATTTGGAATTCACGAATCTACTCTACTAAGACCAAGATAGATTGTCAAAAACGTAGAGGACGTAGGATGGATAATTGATCAGATCTAACACGAATAAGAGTTCCCTCATTTGAGATCTCTATGAAGAGTATCAAGCACGAAATCAAGATTTTGTTTAGGATATTATTTTGGATCTCATCGAAAACTTTCAATAACTTACCAAACAAAGGCAAAGAAAAAAAACCATAAAATACAATTTTTTAAAACTATATATTATTATTATATAAATTGTTGAATTAATCTCCTTTGATATTAATACATATTTTATTTATTGACAAAGCGGTTCAAAAAGTGTGTTATGTTATGAGTCGAATCTAATTAGATGTGATATATATTTTAGTATTTTAGCTCCATCGTGACTACAAGTATTAAATATAAATATTTTGTGAATTTCATACGAAACTACTTACTTATTCGTGTTTTTACTAACCAAGAACACATACATTTTGTTCGTATAAACTTTTTTACGTACGTACCTCTAACGCCAGCATTGTTAATAAGAGCATCAATGTGACCAAAAGCATCCCAAGCTTTCTTTACTGATGCTTCAATAATTGTACCATCAGTAGTAACATCAAGTCCAATAGCCATAGCTCTAACTAAATGAGAATTTGAACTAGCCATTGTATTAATTTCATCACAAAGGGACTTCAACCGGTCCGCTCGACGAGCACTCGCCACGACTCTGCACCCGGACCTAGCTAGGTCAAGGCAGAATTCGCGGCCGAGCCCCGCCGACGCACCGGTTACAAACACCACTTTGCCTTCCAATTGTAGCCATGGCTCCAAATGGTTAGCTACATTGTTCATTTTTTGAGTCCTTGGCTCAACATATTTTGGTACTTGTGTTGTCATAATTATATTGTGATAGCTATATGGGACTTGCTAGGAGTTTTTTTTTGTTAGGAGTTTATTAATTCTAATATAATTAGATGTGTACATATATATAGGTAAAAAATTTGAAAAGGTGAATTGAATAGGGGACATAATTTTTATTTTTAATAGAAATTAAAAAAACATGGTTCATGCATATGTATGTGGTTGATAGGTTCTAGTAAGGATGTGAGGTAGATATAAAACTAATCATTGATTTTTCCAAAATGAGGACCCCATGGACGACCACACTATGAGTTTTATTATCATCAAAAGTTATGCTGGAATAGTAATAAAAACTTCACAATCTTTAACAAATATCTCGAATTCAAGCTTTATATATATATAAGAAGTCGTCTTTAATAGTGAGCGCTCTAATTTACCCCAAAATAATTTTTTTCAATACAAATTTAAGTTAATCAGGCCTTAAAAACGAATTCCTAACATCAAATGGAAAACAAAAAGGAAAGAGGTATTACAATAGATGATTACTAAAGGGTTGAAACTTTTAAGTTTTAACTTTTGAGTATTTGGTAAAGTTGAGAAATCAGTAGAACATTAATTTCATTTTTAAAATTAATTCAAACACTAAAGAAATATTTAAAAGTTATTTTCACCTTATAAAAAATACTTAAAATAAGTCGATTTAAGTAGTTAGCAGCTCTAAGAAGACAAAAGAGTCGTGGAAGAAAGAAGAAAAACACAAGCAGCTTAAACTCATAATTAAAACTAAAACATGCATAGATCAATAAGAGGGAAACATTTTCTGAAATTACTAAAATATGGTCTATTACACTTTCATTTATTGCATATTTTGTCACCCTATGGTGGTCTATTACACTATTTTTTCATGACAAAATTAATGGAGTAACAACTAACAACTATGTTGGTAGCTAGTAGTAGGGGTGTACATGACCGGATTGGTTTGGATTTTTTAAATATCAAGCCAAATCATTTGTGTCGGATTTTTAAATCTATAAATCAAACCAAATCAATAAAACTCGGGTCTTTTCGGATTTTTTTGGGTTTTTCGGATTTTTAGGTTTTTTCGATAAAGTATTCATACAAACATATAATTTAATTACTTGTACATCAAATATTTCTTTAGATCTACCAAAATACAACTATCTAAGGTGTTTCTTAAGAAAATAACACAAAATATGATATGAGTAATGACACTAAAATATCCAACAAAAAAATAATAATAATGAAATTGCGTAAAACAAATATTGCAAGTTAACAAGTCATAATGAAAATGATCATAATTTAAAAGTACTAAATCATGCTAAAATAAGTTTAATAAGTATTAGTTACATGACTAAATATTAAAGGAAATTAAAATTAGATTATGTATTTGAATTGTCTAAACCAATATAAAACCAAAGAACAAATATTCAAAATTATTGTCATTCTTAGTGTTGAATTGATTTTATTTTTGCATTAGTATTAATTTGATTTTGATTTAAACTTTATTATAATTACCAAAATCTGTATGTTGACTATAATCTTTATTGAACCATTCAAAATTCTAAATTTCAAACTTGAAATAATATATTAAAAAATAAAAACTATGAAAAAGTATAAGAAATATTTTAAAATTATATCAAAGTAAATATTTTTATGTATAAAATAAAATTTTAAAATTATATATATAATGTCGGGTTGGTTTGGTCTCGGGCTGGTTTTTTTTAGTTAAAACCAAACCAATCCAAATATAGTCGGATTTTTTTTTTCAATATTAAACCAAGTCAAACCAATCACTAGTCGGGTTTTTTTTTTCTCGGTTTGACTCGATTTGTGGTTTGGTTCGGTTTTCGATTCGATTTTGTACACCCCTAGTAGCTAGGTTCCAGCAAGGGTTATAAATTTACATGGAAAAAAAAACTTTTTGTTTTAATAGAACCACGGGTAGATAATTTTATGTTTTATATGAAATAGATAATTTCATGATTTTGGTGTAAAATGTCATAGATTTCTCACTTTCCCCAAAAATGCCTTTTTAGCTTTTGTGTTAGAGTACAATAGGACATGATAATAATTATAACGAATCAACTAATTTAAATTCACATACTAATATATAGGGAGCACTTATTAAGTGTTTGGTATTACACTACAAAAAACCCTGAATTGCCAACAAAATTATCCGTTGCTAAATTGATTAAATTGGTTGGCAAATGCTTTTTCCAACCGAATGCCAACTAATGTTAATTTGTTGCTAAAAAGCTTGTCACTAAATTTTACCAATCCATTTCAGTTAGTTGGTAAAATTATCAACTAAAGATCAGTTGGTAAACACATAAAAGACTTGTTGGTAATTGTTGAAATGTGGCCTTGAAATTTTCGTTGGTAAATTCACCAACCAAATTTCGGTTGGCATATTGTTGGGAAGTTTACTGACGGAGAGAAAAGAGTTAATAAATTTGGTTCTTCACTATTCAATTATGTTAGTGATATGTTAGCAAATATACTAAAATAAAATAAAATGTTGTTAGTATTTGGTTAGCAATTATATAACAAATAACAACTTGGTTGGTAAGCTCGATAGTAAATTCACCAAAATACATTTGTAATCAGTTTGTAATTTCGGTTAAGAAAATAATGTGTTGGTATTTCATTGGTAAATTACCAACGAATTTTAAATCTGTAACTAAGAATGACTATCTACTCATGTAACTTATGTTACTAATTGATTAGTATTTTAGAAACACAAGAAGCTCATTAGTAATTCATTAGGAAGCTTACTAACTTATTGTGATTTTGTTGGTAATATATATATTATTTATGGTCAATATTCGGTTAGTGATTGGTAATGTATATTGCCATATTACTAACTAAATGGTAATTCGATAGTAAAGTTTCACTTTATATATTTATATTAATCAATAGCTTTTACGAATCTTAAAAAGTCTGAAAACATAATAAAATCCAGTGACCCTTTGATAAATTATAACTTGACTAAAACAATGCAAAAGCTAAAATGAAGAGTTCAAAACAAATCCAAATACAGAAATAAACAATGAAAGATATGCCTACAATAGTTTGGAATTTTAAATGACTCATATCATTATTTGATGATGGGTCATGTCTAAGCTAATGTGGTGTACCAGTTGGAGGTGTACCAGCGGGCAGTGTACCAGGGGTGGTTTAGGCAGCCCAGCTATGAGAATGGGCAAACGTTCTTGGAGAATCTTATCAATTTCCTCTTGCATTTCTAGTTGCATTTCATTTTTCATTTCTTCACGCAACTCTTCTCTCATCTCTTCTCTCTCTCATGTTTCATCTCCTCATTCATTTCTTGAACGTATTCCTTCACTCGAGCATCAAATCTATAATCTTGAGGTTGAGAAGTTGAAGCAGATGATGAACCAACGTTCTCATAGAAAACAACTTGAGAACCAAGAGCATATATACATGTCTTCTTTGTAACGACTCGGAAAAATGATAAGTTAAGCAAGAGCCTATGACTTTGTGTTGACTTTATAATGAGGTTCTATGAGGGGTTTTTATGTAATTTCGTTTTAATTGTTTATTATGTGGGGTTGATTTTAAATGGTTTTGGGTCTTAAAACATTCCTTTAACTCATTATTTTCCCAAATCAAATCCCAAGTTCTTTCTCTCTCTATATCTCTCTCTAACTCAAGGAAGAAGAAGAAGAAGAAGTGGGAGCTAGGGTTGTGGATGAAAGACATATTCTTCATCAAATTTCTTGGGAAATCTTAGTAAAGGTATGGGAGTTCTTTATGTAGGGCAAGCTATCACCCTAGAGCCAATTTCAAATGGTTTTCAACTTTTCCAAAGTTTGTGAAAAAGCCTAATTTCTACTCAAACTCAAGGGTTCTTGCATGAAACGATTTCAAATGATAAGTTATGATATTATTGATGTTTATTTGATGTTTTAAGATGAAAAACTCCATGAATCCTTGTATTCTACAAAATCCTAAAATGTGTTTATGAAGTGGGTCTATTTCTATAAATTCAAAGTTGATGGAATTATGTGTAAAGTGAATTGTATTGATATCACTTGTGTTGTTTAATGTTTATTCATGATTAATTGTTGATAATGGGTGAATTAAGGGTGGTAAGCCTTATGGGTGAAGTATTGGTGATTGTTTGGATTTTGGTGATTTTGGCTATGGCTTTGAATTATGGTAAGAAAGCTTGAACTCTCTTTATTGAATTGATTGTTGTTGGTAGGTTGAATCCACCTTTGGTGGAAGTGTTATATCTTGTTCTTGTGTGGTATTATTGTGAATTGTAGCCATGAAGGCATTGGGGAAGTTGTTGCATAATGTTGGAATATTGTATTATTGTGAATTGAGGCCATGAAGGGCATTATATGAGTGTTATTGTATTGTTATATTATTATATATAAATGAGGCTATATGTAAAGTCCTATATGAAGCTATATGTAAAGTTTTATGTGAAGCTATATGTGTGAAGGTATGATGTGAATGAGTTTATGTGATCTTGTGATGATCCTATGTAAAGTGGATGGCATTATGATATAAAGTATGATTTTTCTCATGATGTATATATGAAATGAAGTTGGATTATGAAGTATCCTTAGATGATAATGTTGTGACTTGGTTGGTAGACTAAAGTGTCTCTCCTTGTTACTTAAAGTCTTGAATGCATGAATGTGTGAAGTGGGCTAGAACTAAGAAATGGCGCCCTTTCTATAAATGTTAAAAGAGGAATTCTAGGCCTTGACTTGTATTATGTCTCTTATACTTGTGAAGTGAAGGTTTTATCAAAATGATATGAAAGCATACATTTCTTGTAAGTGTCCGTTGTGCATATTTTCTTGCATGGTCTCCATACTTAGTACTTA